GCATGAACTGTTGTTTTCCGTTCTGATTTTTCTTTGTGTACTTCTTGTTCTATTTGAAGTTAATTATTGTGGGATGGTTTTAAAACTCTCTGGAACACTAGAATCAAATTTTAAAATAGTAGGAACTTGGACAGTAAGGAACAGAAGTGTGGGAAATCGTCGGAGATCAAACCGATGCACGAAGAAGAGTGAACAAAGGAAGTTGGAGGTGGAGGCGGCTCCACACAAGGGTGGAGCCAGCTCCAAGGGGCTGTGGAGGCGGCTCCACACCAGGGGGAGGCGGCTCCACCCCCCCTTTTGCTTGTTTCCAACGTAATTTCTTGATTCTGGGTTGGTTTCGATGCTACTGAGGTATTTAGGAGCTATAATTGACAAGTTTGGCTAGTGTCTAAGATTAAATTAGAACCTTAGAGGGATTGGTAAAGCATGGTAAAACAATTAAGGTTGTTGCTTGAACAGTATATTAATTTTTAAGTGAAGTTGGTGAACTGTTCTTGGAGGCGGAGAATTTAAATTGCATAATCTTAGGTAACGAGGTTTTATCTTTGAATAGAGTTATTGTTTATTCATGTTCCATGGTAAATTATAAGCATGACAAATTACAGAAGGATTATGTGCTTGTGATGGTTAAACTGATATAATTATGTATTAAGTGTTGTATCAATTCTGAGATATCAGTGCAGTGTTGTAGAATAGGTATATGAATTTATACACTCTAATATGCTTGCGGGGATATTAATTGATAGTTATACGCATGAACTGTGTTATCAATTATGGGACAGTGGGAGGTTAAATCAAATAATCCTGTTAACTTTCAGAATTTTATTATGCACTTATGGAACAATTGATGTTTAAATGTAGTGTTTTTATTCTCAATTGTTGGAGTTATGGATTTGGATGATATTTACATGCTTGTTTTGTATTATCATTTACTGGATGGATTTATTCTCAATTGATATTTAAATGTAATGTTTTATTCTCAATTGTTGGAGTATGGATTTGGATGATATTTACATGCTTGTTCTGTATTATCATTTGTTGGATGGACGGATTGTATGCACCGGTATGGGACGGTGACATACTAGGGGGGATTAGCTCAAAAATCGCTAAGTCCTACCTACTCTGGGATTAAGGAAATTGATTGACTAAAAGTGAAATCATATGGATTTGTAGTGTCAAGGCAACATATAGTTGAGCGGCACTACTACGGATTCTGGATGGATTTTAAATATATTGTTATGGTACCTCGATATGGGCTTGAATCTCAAGATCGATGGTTAGGGAGCGTATATGCATCAAGATGCATAGCTGGTTACAATGGTTGGAGGTGTACCTTGTCTAGGTTTGAGTATACATGCCCACTTCGTGTGCGTTTTGTGTGTTGCCTCTATTTAGGTTGAGACCGGCCTGTAGCCAGTGAGAGTCCTTTAGTGTGAAATATATATATATACACAAACTATATAGTTATTGTTGAATTGGTTAGGATGTACATGCGTATCGAGTCTCTGCTTGGATTGTAGTAGGATAGAACTTGTTCGTGGGTCTGACCCACTTCTATTTCTCAGGTACACGACAGTTCCAGACTTAGACGAGTTCGTGCTGAGCAGAGGTTTTATTCACTCTACCGACGATGTAGGACTTCTCTTCGTAGCTTCTTCTGGATGACTTATCAGTTTTTTATATTTTATTATTGCTTGGTTTATTATTAGGGGTCCACTAGAGATGGATTCCCGAGTTGTACCCTTGGAGGTTTTGGAGTTAGATTATTTAATCTTTATTATTTGAGGATTTTATTTTAGTTTCTTTCAGCTTTAATTTCATTTCTTAATTCATTTTGTATTCCGTGTTCATTATAAAATATTAATTGTTAAATATTCCCTCGGGTTTGGGTCTGGGCCTGATCAACCCGTGTCTCGGATCTGAGGGGTTTCACATTTTTGTCTAAAAATGCTTCAAGAAATTTGCGGAGATCTTTAAGTAATTTGCTTGGTCTTTCTGAGGAAGGAATTTATGCTTGTTATTTAGGAGTGCCGGCAATTATTGGTCATTCTAAAAGGGATGTTTTCCAATATGTTTCACAACGCATGCAAGAGCGATTGGCTTCCTAGAAATATACTACATTATCAGTTGGAGGAAATTTTTTTTTTTGATAAAGGCCGTGTTAAATGCCTTACCCACTTATGTTATATCTTCTTTTAAGCTTCCTAGAAATATATGTTTTGAGTTGATGAAACAAATTCGAACTTTCTGGTGGAGCAAAAAAGAGAAGAATAGATCCATTTATTGGACAAGATGGGATATTTTGTGTCAAAATAAGAAGTTTAGGGGGTTAGGCTTCCGTGATCTAGAGGCTTTTAACTTGGTGCTGCTGGCCAAGCATGCTTGGAAATTTCAAGTTCTTAAAACTGGGTGATGAGTGTTCAAATGTGACACATTTTAGTACCTAAGTGAGGGTATTTTAGTCCATTCATCTATCTTTATTTTCCTATTTTAGTACTTATTTATCTTTTTGTCTATTTTAAGTCAATAAGGTTAAAATTGGCTAAAAATGGTCCATTACAACCTTTTTGGAGTCAAACAAAAGTTTCTAGAAGATTTCAGAAAAATCCGGAAAAAGGTCAAAAATGCTGAAAATTTGGATGGATCGAAGATTTCTTCGATCGATCGAAAATGTACTGGCAGTGAGCTGTTTTATTCCCGCGCGCCTGAACTCCACCTACCACGTAGTTGCGGGATTAGATATTTTAAAGGCTTATTTCCTGACTTGTTCACTACTTCAAGGACTTTTTATAAAGGGGGAATTGAACCATTTTGTAATATATCTTTTAGTCTTCAATATTATTTTCATTGTAATTTTATTTTCTCTTTCTAGAAAAGTTAGAAATTAGGGTTAGAAGAAAAAAGAAGAGTGGAGGCTCCAAGAACACATCTCAAGATCTACACACTCTCTCTCTCTAGAATTCAACAAAGAAGAAGAGGAATAAGATGGAGCCATGTTTGGGGATTGCCCTTGAGGTTCCAAGATCACATCCACTTCCTCCATGATTGGCTAGACTTCTCCTTGGGGCTTAGATGAGCCCCAAGTTTGTAATCTAAACCTCTATCTCTTTCATACTTTTTGGGGAATAATATTCTGTGATTAGTGCTATAGTCTTATGAACTTAATGAATTTTGGTATATTTCTATGATTTATATGGTTTAATTCTTCCTATTAATTCTCTAGTTTATTTACATGTCTATGTGTGATTAAATTGGAAATTATGTCTTACATGATTCATATGGTTTAATTCTTCCTATTGATTTTCTTTGTAATTACATTTTGTCTTACGTGTGATTATTTTTGGAATTGATCTCTACACTAGTTTCTCTATGTTGGTTGCATGTCTATGTGTGATTAATTAAAAATCTAGTGATGGCTAGACATGATTTTTATTAGATGGGTTTGTCCATTAATTTGATGGATTATACTTATACTTGATGGGTTGTTCTACAATTTAATTCATGCTTGTAGGTAAGTAGACAATCTTTACTTGATTTGATGTTCCATGGCTTATTATTGCAAATTTCATGATTCTTTAAATTGATGTGTTCTACAATTGTGACTAGTTTGATGGGCCATGCTTCGAATTAATGGGTTGTGCTACACTTAGTTTAATTGTTGGTTAGGTAGGCAAATCATTATTGAATTTGATGGTACATGCTTAATATTGCAATTGGTAGTTACATTTTGTTCACGAGAAGGTTTTTCCCAAATTAGTTGAAAGTGTGTGGTTTGGTGAACAAGCTTGGTGGCAATTCCAATACACACCAAGACCTCACTTCTCATCTCTTAAATCCCTAACTCAACTTAGTTTATTTTAATTGCATTTTAATTAATTAAATTCTAGTTTAATTCAAACAATCAATCTCTCCTTTGTAATCTTGTGATTCACTAGAGTCGAAGTTAAATTCCAACATGTATAATCCCTTGGGACGATCCCTACTCATTTTTGCTACGTTAATAGTAGTAGTGGTAGTGATTTTTATAAATTTAAACTTGACCTAAAAGGCTTTTCTTGAACTGCACATTCACTACATTATTTTGGCGTATACAAGTGGCCTCGTTGGTTGGCTTACCAATTGTTTAAAGCCAAGTACTTTCCTTCATGTTCTTTTTTAGAGGCGTAGTTAGGGTCCAATCCGTCATGGGGGTGGCGAAGTATCTAATCCTCCCAAAAACTTTTGAATTCCGAGCTGAGATGGTTGGTTGGCAATGGAAAATCTATTCGTATATGGTGTGATCACTGGTTGCCTAGTTTTCCTACTAAACTCACTCCCCGCCAAGGTGTAAATGTTTTTTCTTTCTGCTATGTGGCTGATCTGATTGATTCTCAAACTCGACCATGGGACTGGATGTTCTAAACCAACTCTTTGAATCTCATGTAGCCCATGCTATTTCTCGTATGACCTTTAGTTATTGGGATAAAGATGATGTTCAAATTTAGGCTCTCGAATTTACATGGAGATTTACAGTAAAGTCTGCTTACCCATTGGTTTCATCTCTTTGTGGCCAGCCTAGTGAGTTGATTGATGCGTTTAGTTTGTTACATTCCTCTGTAAATCGTGATGATGGTTGCTGGAAATCAATATGGCGCTATGAAACTCTATCTAAAGTGAAACATTTTTTGTGGCGATGTTGTTATGATGCGCTTCCAACGGGTACGACTCTTCTTCATAGGGGTTTTCAAATTTCTCCTTTTTGCACGTGTTATGGATCCGAAGAGGAGTGAAGTGCCCACATTCATTACAAGTGTGGAAATTGTTACCCATAGGCTTGATTTTTCAAATGCCACTTTTTTTATTTTATTTTATTTATTTATTTATTTTTTTCCTAAATTGGTGGTTCTGTATTAATGACAAAGCTACCTCTTCTCCTGATCAAAATCTTTTCTTGGGGTTGATTTCTTTTTTGCATTTGGTTTATATGGAAGGCGTGAAATAAAAAAGTGTTTGAGAATGAGATGTGGAGTCCTGTGGTGATGGTGAAACTTGCCGTGACTAGATTATGGGAATATGTGGAGGTTCGGTTGCAGTGTAGGAGGATGTTTTGCACTAAAAGCTCTACATCTTCTCAATCATGGATCCCTTCATTACCTGGGCTAATTAAATGTAATGTAGATGCTTGTTTTTCAGTGGAATCCTCTGTCGGTGAAGGGGGTGCAATCTTTCGCGACTATTCTAGTTCCATAATTCAATTAGTGGTCTTTAAACCATTTCCTTCATCTTCAGTATTGGTAACGGAAGCTGTTTGTCTTAGACGTGCCATTTCTTGGGCTAAATCACTGCATTTCCTAAATGTGTGCTTTGAATCAGATGCAAAGCTGCTTGTTGATGCTGTGGCTGATGATGGGAATTGCTCTATCAAAATTGCATCACTTATCTTTGATATCAAAAAAGCGTTAAAGGTCTTTCCCTCTGCTACAGTGTCCCATGTTAGGCGAGCTGGGAATAGGGTGGCTCATGCTCTTGCATCTTTATCTTGGGATCCAATGGATTCCGATTGGATTCTTCCTTCTGTGCCACCTTCAATTCTTGATCTTGCTGCTCAGTTATGCTTAATATTTCTACTTAGTTTTTGTTTTTGTGTTGTTTTTTTGTATTTGCCAGGAAGAAAAAAAAAAATCACATAAACTCAACCTAAACATTAGTCTTTAAAACATCCTTAATAGTTTGTAATCATTAAACCATACAAAATTAGGGCCACAACATTCCAACATTGATTCGGGCTTTTAAGTGCTTTTGTTTTATTTTATTTTAAGTAATGAACCTTTCATTACTATAATTAGATTTTTTTAATAAAAATATTTTTGAACAAGTCCAAATCTTAAGGGTATGAATGTAATTTAACTATACTTGTTTGTAGGTAAGGCCTTTAGATTTGAAACATTCACAAATTGTCCACCACTATGTAGCACTAGCAAATCTAATCCATCTCTGTTCTTATAGCCACCTCAGAGACTGTACTCTGCTGTATAGAGTTAGAGAGAGAAGACGAGAGTTAGAGAGAGCGCGAAGAGCCATATTCATGAATTACCAGCTATTGCCTTCTACACCTATCTCCACCACCACAGCTGCTTCCTCTCCTCTGCTTACCATATACACTCTCTCCCAAAGAACCCACATTCCCACCCATGTCTACAAGCACCCCTCGGCTATACTCCTAGAACTCTGCACTTCCATGAAAGAACTCCACCAATTCATCCCTCTCATCATCAAGAACGGTCTCTACAATGAGCACTTGTTCCAGACCAAGCTTGTCAGTTTGTTCTGCAAATTCGGTAGCTTACACGAAGCTGCTCGTGTTTTCGAACCCATTGATGACAAGGTCGATGCTTTCTATCACACAATGCTTAAAGGGTATGCTCAGAACTCTACTTTGGACGATGCTTTGTCGTTCTTCAGTCGAATGATGCATGATAGTGTTCAACCAGTTGTATATAATTTTACTTATTTATTGAAAGTTTGTGGTGATAATTCGAACCTTAGAAGGGGTAAGGAGATTCATTCTCAACTGATCGTCAATGGGTGTGCATCAAATGTCTTCGCGATGAATGGTGTCGTTAACTTGTATGCTAAGTGTAGACTGGTTGATGAAGCATATAAGATGTTCGATAGAATGCCCGAAAGGGATTTGGTATGTTGGAACACCATCATTGCTGCGTATGCGCAAAACGGGTTTTCAGAGAAAGCGTTGAAATTGGTTTTACGGATGCAAGAGGAAGGTCATCGGCCTGATTCGGTTACAATAGTCACCATTTTGCCTGTCTGTGCTGATATTGGGTCCATGAAGATTGGAAAATTGATTCACGGTTATGTTGTAAGAGCAGGGTTTGAATCACTTGTAAATGTATCAACTACTTTGCTCAACATGTATTCCAAGTGTGGGTCAGTGGGGACTGCTAGATTAATATTTAATAATATTCGTTACAGGAACGTGGTTTCTTGGAATTCCATGATTGATGGATATGCCCAAAGTGGTGATTCAGAGGAAGCATTGATGCTTTTCCATAGAATGTTGGAAGAAGGATTAAAACCTACTAATGTCACTGTTATGGCAGCTCTACATGCCTGCGCTGATATGGGTGATCTTGTGCAGGGACAGTTCATTCATAACTTAGTGAATCAATTAGAACTTTTCTTTGATGTTTCAGTTGTGAACTCTTTGATTACCATGTATTGCAAGTGTAAGAGAGTTGATGTTGCTGCTGGAATATTTGAGAGCTTGCAGGATAAAACCCTTGTCTCATGGAATGCAATGATATCAGGCTATGCACAAAATGGGCATGTAACTGAAGCTTTGAACCTTTTTTGCAAAATGCAAATGCAAAATTTCAAACCTGATTCATTCACAATGGTGAGTGTGATTCCTGCTGTCGCTGAGTTATCAGTCTTACGTCAAGCAAAGTGGATCCATGGGCTTGTCATAAGAACTTGTTGGGACAATAATGTTTTTGTGATGACTGCACTTGTGGACATGTATTCAAAATGTGGGGCTGTTCATACTGCAAGAAAGCTCTTTGACATGATGGAGGAACGGCATGTAACGACATGGAACGCTATGATAGATGGATATGGAACACATGGGCTGGGTAAAGCTGCAATAGAACTATTCAACAAAATGCAAAAGGGAGATGTAAATCCAAATGATATAACATTTTTATGTATTATCTCAGCTTGCAGCCATTCAGGTTTCGTAGAAGAGGGGCGCCGTTATTTCACCATCATGAAGGAAGAATATGGCTTGAAGCCTTTAATGGATCACTATGGAGCCATGGTGGACCTTCTTGGTCGTTCTGGCCAACTTGATGAGGCTTGGAATTTCATCCAAAATATGCCTATTGAGCCAGGTATTAATGTTTTTGGTGCCATGTTGGGTGCTTGCAAGATTCACAAAAATGTTGAGTTAGGGGAGAAGGCAGCAAACAAACTGTTTGAGTTAGAGCCTGAGGAAGGCGGGTATCATGTATTGCTTGCTAACACATATGCCACGGCTTCAATGTGGGACAAAGTGGCCAAAGTGAGAGCTATGATGGAAAAGAAAGGGATTCAAAAAACTCCTGGATGCAGTTTAGTGGATCTGAGAAACGAGGTTCATACTTTCTATTCTGGAACCACGAACCATCCGCAATCCAAAAAGATCTATGCTTACCTTGACGTGCTAATAGATAAGATCAAAGCTGCTGGTTATGTGCCTGATACAAATTCAATTCATGATGTGGAGGATGATGTTCAAGAGCAGTTGCTCAATAGCCATAGTGAGAAGCTGGCTATTTCTTTTGGACTATTAAATACCAGCACAGGTACCCCTATTCACATTAGGAAGAATCTTCGAGTTTGTGGCGATTGTCACAATGCAACAAAGTACATTTCACTTGTTACTGGACGGGAAATCATTGTGCGGGATATGCATCGGTTCCATCATTTCAAGAATGGAACTTGCTCCTGTGGAGATTATTGGTGAATTTGTCTTTGAGAAAGTTTTGACTCTTCAGAGTTGCTTTGCTATCTACGGGGGTGGACATTAACTGAGGGAGCGAGGATGCAAAAAAAATTGGCATGACTTGTGACATTGTTAAGTTATCAACCTCGAGTTGCTCAATGTTGAAGGCTTGGTTAACAACTGATACGGAAGGTTTCAGAAAGCCCCTAGGAAAATTTTACACAAAATATTGCTGAGGTATTTCTCATCTTGAAAATAAACTCCTTGTGCGACTAATCTATTTAATTTCTGTATAATAGGGTCACTTTCTTCATCAACAATAGCAGCTTCTTCAGATTTTATCATCTGTTGTGATTGATATAAACTGTATAGATATCAACATTAAGCAATACCAAATTAAAAGGAAATCAGTATTCTACAATAAGTGTCATATTTTAAATTCTTTTGTGATTCACCGTATCTGTTATTTCGACCTTGTGTCAAACATTTTTGTTTGGAAAGATTGGTGCATGCTTGCTCTGTTGCATACCTTGTCTAGCCAGTAATAGAGTTGGAGAACGTTTCGTTCTCTAAATCCACTAGAATATTTTAATAACTCTCAAATATTATGTCCTAAATATTCTTATATATTCAATCTAAAATATTAACACTCTCATTCAAGTTGGTGTATCCCTCATGCCTAACTTTCATACACTGATGATGACAAGACTTGCAACTGAGACTCTTAGTGAACATTTCAACTAGTTGTTCCTCTAATTTCACAAAGGGCATATAGTGGGAGGGTTTGAAATTGGGTTTTATGGGAAATTTTAACAACTTTTGTTGTGATTAATGATATTTTGTACAAGATATAATCAAATGGATACCAATTCAAAACTAAGTATTCACAAATAATAGTACTGTAGTTTAAGGGATAGAGAAAATGCAAACTCCACAATATAATGAGGTTTGTCTCTCCTTGCCTACGTCCTCTATTCAAGAGCACCTTGCGGATTCCCCCAAATTCATTATGGGACTCTTCTTCCGGTACAGCAAACCGCTAAAACAACTCACACTTGCAGGCTGAGAGTGCACCAACTCCACTCTATGAGAAAGAGAGATTACAACTTAGGTTAACAGATTCTACCTTAGGAATACCCTAATTACCTCCTGACACATAAGACTCCAAACTTTTCCCCAAAAATTTCCAAGCAGTCATTTTGAGCGTTAACAACATTAGATCCTCATGAACCCACATCTCTAGCGATTTCGGTCTCAGCCACTAGTCGATCATGCTTCAATCACATGGTATTGAGCTCTTCATTGTAATGTGCATCAACAGATGTCAACACATGTAAATTACACTCATCAACAAATGCAGATGGTGAATATAAAAGGAAAACTGAGATGTACTCTTAAAACTTTCAATAGTATGCTGTGCTATTTGATATTCTCAGTATCTTATATTTCTGCCTTACCATCATACTTATAAAGGAAGTAATGTAGAGAGTCCCTTGACAGGGTTTATATTTATGTAAATTTAGATTAAAACAAGGGTAGTGAGCATTTAACACCCCTGTGGTATGCATATACCTCATGCAATTCCCTATAGGTTCTGAAACCCCTGAACGTTTATTTTAGGGGCAACAAGGACCTCCCCTCAGCATTATTTATTTATGGATTATCACTTATTGGATTATGGTTAAGGGGTCATTGACTTACCGGATTCTCGAGTGGTATCTTTTGGAGAATCATTATTAATGGAATTTTTATTCATTAGAATTTTTTCCAGCAATTTATTTATTTATTTTTTGTAATCATTGCTTGATAAATATTAATTATTTTGATATCTCCTGGTTTTTGAGTGTGAACTTGATCAACCCATATCTCTGAAATTAGGGGTATCACATGGAGAGAAGTACCCATGTAAGTAACAGTGCTCTGTATACTTTTGTGCTAGTGTGCCTAAAACGTGGGAAGCATAAAATTGGTGCTTTTCTTTTTTCTTTTTTCTAAAAATGAAAAACATTTTTCACTTTACAAAATGCAATTTTATGATTTTTGTTTTTGTTTATGAATATGGACTTAATCAACCCATATCCCTAAAATTTTTCGTTAGTGAAGCTCAATAAAATTGATGCTTCTCTTTTCCTTTTAAAAGTGCAAAAAACTTCTTTGTTGGTGGGGAGGCGCCCTTCATGAATTAGTAAAGGCCTGTTTGGGTTGGAAATATTGAACCTGGGGGCTGTGTGTGTTGTGAAAATATCTAACTACCAGGCCACAAACAACTTTTTATTACAAGTTCTAAATTATATATTTAATATATCAATGGCTTATAACTTATGAGAGTAATTTTGTCCATTAACAAGGCTGATGTTTTGTTATAGCCCAACAGAGTGCTAAGTGTATTTATTAAATAAACTATTTTTTTTTAAATAGTCAGATAATCAATCATATACCACCATAAGCACCACCACAACATAAAAAAGAAAAAAGAAAATTAAATAATTTATTTTTTTAAAATAGTCAAATAACTGTATATCATCATAACCACCACCACCACCACCACAACAGTAAAAAAAATTAAAAATAGCAATGACTAACCAATACTTATATGTCCCAAATATCACCAAAACCACCTCCACCACACCGTGACAACACTACCAATGCACCCACGGACTCTGCCAGAACCACCACAATAGAAAAAATAAAAATAAAACTTTTTGAAACACCTTGATAATCTCGATATCACCACAGCAACACCCAAACCACAACACAACAACCACCCCACCAGAGTAGAAATATATTTTTTAAAAACAGCTATAGCCAACCTAGACCTACCACGATAAGAAAAAAAAATATAAAAGTAAAAACTGCCATCAATGAGATCGGGAATAGAGAAAGGGAGTGTCGGATGCTAGGTACTAAAGTGAACAAAAAAACAAAAAGTTGAAAAAAGAGTTAAAGAAAGAGAAAGAAGTTTAATGATGATGGTAATTTTGTCAATTAACAAGGCTAATGTTTTGTAAATTAATTGAATTAATAATAGTGGCCAAATATGATATTTGAGATTGGGGTGTCATTGTTAAAAAAAATCGTTGACTTGTACCCGAGTGACATTGACCAAGGTGTCAGTCTAATTTACCCTTTATTATTATTATTTTGGCTTTTGAATTTATAAAAATAGTAGACATTACTGAAGGTGATTTGATTTTGTCCTTTTGTTTTAACACTATGAAAATAAAATAACTAATGTGGGTTTTGCTTTTTCGTTCAACACTAAGAAAATAAAATCACTAAATTGAAAGAACGAGCCTTGAAATTAAAAAAAAATTAGTTAAAATTTTGAAATAAAATTATTCTACTTGTGATTATAGGAGTTAATTCGAAAACAATTCTGGTTAGTATACATACCATTTTAACAAAAAAAAAAAAAAATAATAATAAACACACTAGACCTATTTTACTTCACCAATTAACCTTTTTTACTCTATTACTACTACTACTAGTAATTTTTTCTTTTCACCTTCCTGAGACCAACAAACTTTTTGAATCAACGTCATGATTTATTGCATTTAACAAGACGCTCCAACGCACAAACCAATTTGGCGAAGTAATCCCAGACTAGTTCTCTCTGAGAAAGTTACAAAATTCTCATTTCTCACCCGAAACTTCACAACATCAAACTCACCCAAAAGCATCACACACACGTACACCAAAATCTCACACGGTTCCACGCTCCGCTCTCTCTCTCTAATGGTGCCCCCATCGGCAGGATCATCATCTCCGAACGCCCAATACACCCTACAGTTCCTGAGCAGCGTCCTCTCACAGCGAGGTCCCTCAGCCCTCCCCTATACGGAGGACGCGAAGTGGCTGATCCGCCAACACCTCCTCTCTCTCTCCGACGCCTTCCCCAGCCTCCAGCCCAAGACCTCCACCTTCACCCACAACGATGGCACCACCGTCCACCTCCTCCAGGCCGACGGCACCGTCCCCATGCTCTTCCAGAACGTCACATACAACATCCCAATCGTCATCTGGCTCATGGAGTCCTACCCTCGCCACAAACCCATCGTCTTCGTCAATCCCACTCAAGACATGGTCATCAAACGCCCACACCAGTATGTCAATCCATCAGGTATGGTCTCCATCCCTTACCTTCACAATTGGCTCTATCCCAGCTCCAATCTTGTCGATTTGGCTCGCAATTTGAGCCACTTCTTCGGCCGTGACCCCCCCGTTTTTTCCCAGAGAAGACCCAATCCAAACCCTAACCCTAACCCTAATACTGGGTATCCCCAATCATTGCTTTCCTCGAATTCGATGTCGGATGGGTCACGACCCGCTATTCCACCGCCCCGAGGTTATCTGCAATCGCCCTATGGGAGCAGTGGGAGGATTTCGTCTCCCGGGTTGCAGAGGCCGCCGCCGGCTATGACAGAGGATCCCACTGAGATGTTTAGGAGGAACGCCATGGGTAAGCTTGTGGAGAGCTTGCACACTGATATTGGGGCTTTGAGAAAGACGAGAGAGGCTGAGGTGGAGGGGTTGTTCAATGCGCAGGCAGTGTTGAGGCAGAAAGAGGAACAGCTCTTGAATGGGCTGAGACGGATGCAGGATGAGAAGGAAGGGTTGGAGCAACAATTGCAGATGGTTTTGATGAACTCTGATATTCTGGAGGGGTGGTTGATAGAGAATGAAGGGAAGCTGGCCATGATGGGGAATGTAGATGTTGATGAGGCTTTCAAGCCATGTGATGCACTTTCGAAGCAGATGCTAGACTGTACAGCATCCGATTTGGCCATAGAGGATGTGATATATTCTTTGGATAAGGCAATTCAAGAATGGTCCATACCGCTTGATCAGTACTTGAGGAATGTGAGGTTGCTGTCTCGCGAACAGTTTTTTCATCGTGCCACATCTTCAAAAGTTAGGGCTGCTCAGATGCAATCTCAGGTTACTAGTAAGGCTGCTCAGATGCAATCTCAAGTTAATGATATGGCTGCTAGGATATCGCAATACGTTGGGTGAAAATTCAGCACGTTATGTTGATCAGGCCACTTTGTTGTATTATGTTGTGCTGGCATTGCAGGACATTTTAAGGATTATAGAGTATAAGGTTGGTCTCTTGTGAAAATCTCAGTGTTTTTATTTCCTCACTTTCTTTTATTATGGTTTTCGATTCTTCGTTATCTATTTGTATCGATAGGAAAGTATAAAAAAACATAATTTTATTATCCAAAAATTGATGTGCAAAACTTGTGTAGTGGTGATAAAATATAGCAAATTATTTATGTCATTTTCTCTTTCTGTATTTATATTGGGAAGAGAAGCAACAGTGTGCTTTATGTTTTCAACTTACAAGTTGAATTCTAGCTTGTAGTTTCATATCTTTCTAATTGAAGCTTAGGTTTTATTCTAATTTTCCCCCCCCTCTTGAATGTGGTTAGTGATGGTGTAAACTAACTTCAGTCTTTATGAATATTTGTTAGTTTATTTACTTTTTAAATTTTATTCTATGTTACTCTTGTATACTCAACTCTCCGCTTGGACTTGGGACTGTTATGGCAATAATCTAATAATTCCATGAATGTAAGATTATATTGTAATGACTGATGAACATGACTAATGCCCTTGACTCTTTTTTTTTTTTTTGATTGTTGGTGCCAAATAATTCTTATGTCATGGTCAAATAACTACTCTTTACTAATCTCTTTTTCTTATATATATATATATATTCACATATATATATTCTTTCAGTTGGTCTTGGCTTGCACACACTACAATGTCTTAATGTTTTCTTCTTTCTAGATAAATGGAATATAATTAGCTTGTTCTTCAGTTATTTATTAAAAAAAAAAAAAAATTAAAAAGCTTGTTCTTCAGTTGAAGAGGTATATACACTCATTGCATAAGGAACGGCGTGCATCCATGACATTGATTGAATGAATATAATCTAATTATGACGTCTTTAGGCTTCTTTTGATTATCATTCAACTATGTGAAAATAGTTAAATTATTTGTAATTATTTTTTGAGATCATAGCTCTTTGCAAAAAGAAACAAAAAAAGGGAAAAGAGAAAGGATCGGTCTAAATAAATAGGAGGAGAACTATCCACGTTTTCATCCCTTCAAGTTGCAAAACAAAACAAATGTGTTCATTTAATGATGTTATATTGAGGAGATTGTTGGAGGTCAGTCCCTGTCATACAAATACGTTGGACATGACTTGTCGAAGTTAGTATGAACCTGAGTTGAGATTCTTTCCAAATATTCCCATTTCTTGCTTTCAAGCTACATCATACCAAAATTAGAACTCGAAATCTTGCACTATGTAAATTTATCACATAATTCTTAGATAGAAGCAGATCAATAAGGAAGATTGGGGCTTAACTTAAAACGAGTTCATTTTATTGACTTGCTTGCAAGAAAGTGAAGCATTTTTGCAATGACAATTGAAGATTTAGCATGGCGGATTTTGCTGTTGGATCCTTTACCTGAACTTGTTCAATTTGGTAATCTTATAATGTCATGTAATTGTGTGGGGAACTGAGGATAGTTGCATGACATTTTTGAAGAATGGCTATTACGGACTATCAAGTATGGGGTGCTGGTGATACAGAATAATTTTCTGGGATATTTCACCTTTCTATCCCAAAATATTATGAGTTCGTGTATACGTTACTTACATGTATAAGTAGCAACTGAAACAATGACTTGTTCTGTTAATGGAGATTTTGCTAGTCACATTGTTTGCAATTAGTGGCAGCAACTAAGCTTTCAGTAGGCTTGCTGGATGATGTATGGAAAGCTTAAAATCTATCCCAGACTCTTTCATTTCTTGTTTAAAAGGTAAGCATACCCTTCCATTAGGGACGAACTAGACCGGGAACTTGCCGGGTGGGGCCAAATTGCTACCCCTAGAATTTATATTTCCGTTGCCATTTTAAATGCAGTTCCTCTTTCTAGGACAGGGACACGGTGTGTGATCACTATTCATGCTGCGAGGATGGGATTGAGAGTTTTCTATCCATACGTGGGGATAGGATTGAGAAAAACTTTTCCCAGGTTTGGGATTGGGAAATAACTAAGAATTGCTAGTCGGGGCAGGGTAGGGTTTAGGGCATTCTGTTGTAAACCCACCGTGTTGCCGTCCCTGGATATAATTGTTACCAACTTGAGTAGTTGTGGCTGTGATGGCTGAAAAATAATTCTTTGACTGGGCAATTGATTTTTGGCTGCTATATGGTGTATTTTCTAGATTGGGAACATTTGTATTTCATGGTCAGAAGATCCAGGTTGATAAACTGAACCTCATGAGAATACTTGGTCATTTATTTGGTTTAAAAACCATTAGAACTGCAATGCTGGTAAAGTTAAGTGATGCTTTAAATTACTGAAATCATGTTAAAACATGCTTAAGGGGGTTTTGAAGACTTTTGACTACTTGGGGAGATCAACAGGAGATGAAATTGTAACTCAAGAATATATTTTGTTTTGAGATTATATATATATATATATACTCTCCTTGGGTAACTGGTCAAACTTCAGAAAGAACTGTCTGTAAAAAGAATGAAAATAGAAGAGCAATTTGAAAGGCATGCCCTCTAGTTATGAAATGTTACATGGACTCCAGAATAAGTGTAGGGTGTCGGTGTGTGTCTAATTATCAGGCCTCCCTGAATTCCAAATCTTAGGATATGGGAACTTGGCTTGAAATGTGTCTAAAACTTGGATACGGGTACTTGAATACTTCCTGCATGAAGTTAAAACAACCCTTCTTTGTTATGAAATTTGAGTTTTTATTCATCTTCCATCATGACATATAGAGTACCCGTGTGTTCGGTTTGGGAACTCATGGTCTCATAGTAACATGAACCTTTTACCAGAAGTTAGTTATGTCCTAGTTTTGTGATCTTAAGGTGTGAAATGACCACGCAACAGTCTTTTTTTTTGCCTCTTTCCTCTCTGTGTAGAGGTTCCCCTCTCTCTGTAGAGGATCTTAACCTTGTTTGAGTCTTTTCTCTTTCCTCTTTCCTCTTCTTTTCTTCTTCAATTTCTTTTGTTGGTCTCCTTCTCATCGAGTTCGATCTCCTTTTTCTAAGTTTTTCCTCTACCTGTTCGCGTGATTTGTTGGTAGGTCGTTCGTGTCTTCTTCCTCCTCTTTTGTCGAGTCAGTCTCTCTTGGGGATTAGATGGTCCCGATGTCGGTGAGCGGAATTGCGCTATACATCTAGATCTCCTTTTGGGCGTTCTTCTATCTCTCGTTTTGGTCTGTGTTTTCCTTTTCGGTCTGTCTCCTTTTGGTCGTTTTTCTCGATTTCGAATCATTCTTGTTCCAGTGATCATCATTTGGGTATTTTGGTGGTGTACGCGCCCTTTACTTCTTCTTTCTCCTTCTGTCCTTTCGTGCTTCTTCTCTTTTTTTGGAGGGTTATTTAGTGGTGGTGGTGTTTCTTTTAATGTTGTTTGCTGTTGGCTTATTCCTTCTTGTGGTTTCTGCGCTTGTTGTTTGATCTTGTGCGTTACGCGTGGATCGTTTTGTGGGTGTTTCTGTCCTTGTTTGGTCGGATCTTGCTGCGTGAGTGGTGTGTGTTTTTTCTGTGTGCTACTCATGATTATGGGTCAGCGGGGCTGCGGTTTTGGGTTGGTGAATTCCCCTTTCTCTCCTTGCCGGAAGGGCAAACGTGCACTACGGGCTGTAAACCTGTGGAATTTACGCTTTGAGCGACTTGCTGGCCACTCAGTGCGAAGTTTTCATTTCGATCTGGGTATCAATTTTAGTTATTCTATTTTTATGTTAGTGTTAACTTTCTCTTTGTGTGTTTTGCCCTTCAGATTTCTTGGGTTGCCTTCCTCCTCTACCTGGGTTTGGCTTCCCATGGTGAATTGCTTGGTTATGAGAGATTGCTAATAACTCTGGTTCGTGGTTGGGTGATGCTGGATGTCTTGGCTTGGGAAGTACGCTTATGTTTCCGGCGGGTTCTCTGCATCGCTGTAATTGGCTATTTTTTCTTTGTGGTGTTGGTGATTCCGGTGATGGAAATTTGTTGAACACGTCTTCCGGGGTCCTTTTCAATTTTCTTAATTCAAGTTGGGTTTCTTTTGCCCATCAAACTCGTTCTCAGGTTCCTTGTCAGAAGTTGTTTGTTCCCTCGCCGTTTCGATTGCCGGAGTTGGAAGGCCTAGGGCTGCTGTACGCTCAGACGTCAGTCTTTTCGTCTGACACCAGTATTGTGATTTCCTGCTGGCGTGTTGACCACGTTGGGCATGGTCATGTGGTTTCTTTTCGATACTGGTGGGCCAGACATTTGAGTACTTTGGTCGTTGTGTATGGTGGTGCCTTTTTCTATCTGGGGGGTTGTGTATGGCGGTGGTTCTTTCTTTTGTGGTGATGGTACTTCCACTTTGTCTGACACCTTTTCACTCGTTTGTCGAGTGATCTTGACTATAAGGGGTGTTAGTTCGATTTGGTTAATTCTGTGAAAGTTGGTGTTAAATGTTTTTTTGGTTCTATGTGTATGGCCGATGTTCTTGCCAGTAGACGTCGTATGGCGTTTGGCTTGTTTCTTGTAAGGGTAAAAAAAAAAAAAAAAAAAAAAAAATAGAAAAAACCCACGCAACAGTCTGGCCTTTGTATAAAAATGATTTATACCAGTTTAAAATTTGTCAGTATATTAATGTCTAATTTTGAGACACTATCTTGGAACTCTCACCTCAGTCAATTCAATCCCTATCTACTGAGCCAAAAGAAAGCAATCTCTTGTCCATCCATCCTTCTCTTCCTCGCTTCAACTGCAAAACCTTCGATTCATCAAGGATGGAAAGTGGCAAATTCACATCATCCACGACCTTAACAACGTTATTGACGATGAATAGGATGAGGCGTAGACAAAATGGGGCTTGATATTGACCTGTTGAAGTTAGAGTTCGATCCATGGTTAATGCATTGCTTAAAGGGGTGGTCAAAGAGGCAGGCCGAAGTGATGAAGCAAAAACCCGAGTCCATATGTTCAACTTCTTTTAGCTTCGATTAGGCAATTGTCACACTCCAATAAAGGGCTAGGGTTGTTGATTTAACAAACCAGATTTGGTTTGATCCATCTAGGTTTTCCCTTTTCTATGCAATTCGGTAAGAGTAATACAGTGCTGCATATTTGGTGACTCAAATCACCAATTTAAATTATTTAATCATGAGTTCCATGACTTTTCCTTTTGGTTTAATTAGGTATTTTGGATGTGTGTAGAATTATGAATTGACATAATATTGCAAAATGGAATAAAAAAGGCTACAGCAGGCTTTGTTACACACACACACAAGCATATAAAAACTCAAAACTGTTCAATTTGGATGCAAATTGGGCAATTTTATTTTAGAATGTAAAATATATTTCGGCTCAAACATGCATTCGCAATTAAATT